GGCAGCATCATGCATCAGCAGAGCAAGTTGAAGCTCCCAAAGCATAGCTGCTGTGTCAGCAAATATTGATGGCATCAACTACGGGGATGATTTGGGTTTTTCCCCTGTCTCCAACTGGATATGTTTTAATAATTTATATTGTCTAGAGTGAACCAATCAGTTTCTGAAACAAAGAAGAGGGAAAAAATATTTAATATCAGTCTGTGATCAGTGCTGCTAGAGGCAATGCTCTTGGTAACAGAAACGGGTGGGTCAATTTCTCATTCTAATCATATGCCAAGTTATAAGCCATATAAAACTGCTAAATGTCATTCTGGTCCAGCATGGCTTCCTGGAATCTTTTAAAATAGTTTTGTAAATATTACTGGGGATAAAAACTTAAATTTCACAACCATGTAAAATAAAAAAAACTTGAGACTCTGAAGACTAATAGCTTAGCAAAGTCAAAAACATATGGAGTATTTTTTGAAAATACAAATATCTGATTATATGTTCCTGGTAACAGCATACCTGCCAACAGCCACAGCCTTGTAGGTTCCAAGGACACATTCTACAGCTACATTGGAGGATGCATACCAAATTCTAACACAAGGTTCATGCTCTTTATAAAGTGGCATCATGTTAGTATTGCTACCACTGCTATTATTGTTATAAAGAAGCCTATAAGTAATATGTATTTATTTGAATTAGATATATTTGTCAAGGACAAAGCTCATTTTATTGAGATTCCATTCTACTCAACTTAGTAAGGAAGTCTGAGCAATATCTGAACTGCCACCCAAATTCAGAAAGAGGCCCAAGATCTTGTGCCCTGAAAAAGTTATTTGTTCACCCATTCTCTCATACAAGAAACATCATTTATAGATTTCCCATGCTGTAAGGAGGAAGGGCTGGGATTATACATCTAATAGGCACTATCTCAGCACTCCTGATACTATAGTCTAGTGTGGGAGCTTGCCACATGCAGAGTTGATGACCTTTAGTGTGACAGTACTATAATTCAGGTCACTTCATGGTACAAGGGACAAGAAGAAGGAACTAATAATCACTTTCACTTCAACTTGGGTTGTACCATAGGAAAAGACTTCATAAAGCTTGTCTGCAATCTCAACCAAAGATTTGGGTTTATAAGCCAACTTGGTAAGCTAGGATGTTTTTGTTTGGAAGGAAAAGAAAACCCAACTCTAAGGGCTGCATCATTAGAAAGGCCTGTGATTATAGTCATTCCATAGACTGGGGTCATATGGACCTCCCCCTTATTGCAGAGATGCTGAATAAGGTAGAGCAGCAGCAACCACAAAATGCATAGCCAAGCTCAAAATGCAGAGGAAAAAGAGAGATTATTCTAATATCAAATACTCAGATAGTTAATAATAAAAGTGAAATACATTTATTATCCAAGGCCACATTTGCTATTCATGGACCCTTGCTAAATGACCATTAAAGAAGTTATATCAACAGTGAGGATGTTGATGCCAGAACATGAAGGCAAAACTTTACTAACCATCTGTGTTGATGTGAATAAACACTGACTGAAAAAAAATGAACAATCAAGATAATGTCTTGTTTTTAAAACTCAAATGCTGACTAAAGGAGTTTGAAATGGTGGAGGAAGTGATTTGCAATGAAAACTCCAAAGACCTCATTTTAGAGAGGAAGGCAGAGAGATAAAATTTTGACTTTAGTCAAATAAGCATATTTAAAATTATGAGGTTAACTTCTAAAAGTTTTAACTTCTGAATAAGGATAGGATAAAGGTCAGGTAAACAAAACTTCATCAAGAGAGGAAGGAAGAAGGAAAGCAAACCAAGAAAAAGCACGATGAAGAAAAACACAAAATACATGGTAAAACAGAATCAAAATGCATCCATAACTTGGATTTGTAAAAGAGTTCAGTTTACCTGCTCTATAAAATATGCATATAAAAATGTATCAACTACAAACGATTTAAAGTGAAAGATTAGGGAAGAGATGCCTTAGGCAACTGTTAACCAAAACAAAGTTGGAGAGTGTTATTAAAATTAGTCAAATATTCTTTAAGCTAAAGCATTGGAAAAGGTAATGATAATTATTATAACCAGGAAAAGTATTTATCAGGAAGAACACTGAAATCTTGAACCAAATTATTCATCCTCATAGCTTCAAAGTATGAAGAGCAAAAATTCACAGAACTACAAAAAGAAATGTAAAAATACAATGATGGCAGGAAATTTTAGAATATTTTTTTCAGAAACTAAAGTTACATTAGTAAATTCAAACAATGCGTTAGAAAATGTAAATTAACAAATTCTGTGCCAAATATTTATAGAATAAATATTCATTTGCAACATACATAAACAATAGAATATTTATCAGGCTGGGCATGTGCTTTCTACAAGATCCTAGATTTGATCTCCAGTACTACAAAAAATTAAAATATTAAAAAAAAAACCCCTTGCGCTGGGGTTGTGCCTCAGTGATAGAGTGCTTGCCTAGTATGTGTGAGGCACTGGGTTTGATCCTCAGCACCACATAAAAATAAATAAATAAATAAAATAAAGTCATTGTGTTCATCTACAACTAAAGAAAATATTTACAAAAAAAACCAAAACATTCCAAATAATTTTAGGTTGGAAAACTTACAATTACAAAATACTTAGAACTGAATAAAAACAAAACATCATTTATCACAACTTGTCAGGTCAATGTTTGCAATATTAGGAAGCAACAAGAAGAGAAAGTGTAGAACCCTATTTGGGAAACCCTAGATGTAATCATCTGGACCTTATGGCCCTGAAGAGTTTGACTCCAAAGACCCTCCCAAATCTTCTGGGCCTGCAGAATGACTGACCTCTCTCTTGTGAGATGTAGTACTTCCCCCATCCTGGAAGACGATGCAGACACCTCTCTTACACAAGACTTTAATGTCCCTCTCTGGGTCTGGACTTCACTCTCCTACTGGGCACTAGGCCATTGGAAATATAGGTAGGATTAAGTCACTGTATAATGCAGCTGGGGACTCACTAATTCCAATAACAAAGGAAAAGAACTATATTCCAAATGCGCTGCCAGACTTAGCCAACATGTACTAGCAGAAGCTGGAGAAATGGTGTCCAAGGGGACCTGAACTGCCAAGAGTCATGGAAAGGGTTAATAGAACTTTTTTCCCCCAGGGGCAAAATACAAGAGGAATCAGAAAGGGCACTACTCAGCTTGCACAAGCACAAGACATCAAAAGAAGCCAAGCACTGTCAGCCCTTGTCAAGTTCTGGGACTTGAGCCAGTGTTCAGATCCAGCACATATTGACTGAAAGAGTGACTGGGTCTCAACTCCACTTATAGTAATGAATCCTCTTGTCCTCCCCCCAAAAGTCCTATGAACATTCATTCATATGTTGTTCACTAGGGAAAGGGGAATGCTCTACACATTTCAGTGACTATTGGATACAGGATTGAGCTGATACTAATATCTAAGGACCCACAGGGACATCACCACTGTGTGTGGTCTAGAAATAAATGGAATCATGGCTAAGTTCTGACTTATAGTGGACCCACTAAGTTCACAGGTCCATAGGCCCACCTGGTGATCATTTCCCATCCCTGGATATATAACTGAAATTGCAATACCTGGCAGTTAGTATAACTTCCACATTAAACCCTTGAACTGCGGAGTAAAATCCATCACAGTGGGCAAGATGGAAACCTAGAAGCATCACATTCAAGTAGTAATATTCTTATAGAAAGAGAGCAGCAATTAGTGCCATATGAAGACTCTAATGGATGCAGGAGTAGTGTTCCCACCTTATTGCCATTTAATTCACTAGTCTGTCCCCTGAAGAAACTGGATAGGTCCTAGAAAATGATGATAGCCTAATAGAAGCTCAACCAAATCATAGTTGCCAGTGGAGTCTTCATGTCAGATTTGGTATCTTTCTTAGAGCAGATTAGAATGGCCTCAGATACATGGTCTATAGTTTCTGAGTTACCAAATGAATTTGTTTCTATCCTAATAAGAAAAGATGATTATAAATAATTCATAATCATAAGGATTGAATAACAAAAATATACTAACAGTTTTGCTCCAGTGTTGTGTTAATTTTTTCACCTTCTTCTTTGGCATAATCCAAAAAAACCATGGATAATCTGGTCATCCCACACATCACATTATCCATTACATAGATGACCTATGTAGAGTTGAGTAGATGAACAAGAAGCAGGTGGTACATGGAAGTCTTGACAAAACACACGTGTTCTAGTGGAAGGAGATGAACTCTAAAATTTCAGGACAATGGCTCAAATATATGCTTTTAGAGGTGCAATGATCAGAGGTGTACTATGACATACTGTCCTGATAAAAATCAAAGCACTGCATCTTATACCTCCTACCACAAAGAAGCAAGTGAAATATCTTCTGGGCTTCTTGGGATTCTGGAGGCAGCAAATTCCACAACTAAGGAAATTACTTTGGCCCTTACAGGGTGATATGTGGCAGTCTGAGTGTTCTCTGCATTGAATCCAAGGCAGGAAAGTGCTTATGGGCTCATTGAGGCTGGAGCACAAGGAGCTTTGCCACTTGGATGACAGTAGCTTATGTGGCTGTGGGAGCAGACCCTATGATGTTGGGAGTAGCAGTGGCAGAAAGACACAGTGTACAATTTGTAACAAGACTGGATGGGAGAATCACAATGAAAGTCCCTACAGTTCTGAATGAAGCAAGGCCACACCACATGCAGATAAGAATTATGTGCTTATCAAAACAACTCTCCTGCTGAAGGCCATTTAATTCAAAATGAAACACCAATATTTTGTATTAATAACAAAATCAGCATAAAATAAAGTAAGAAAATAAAATCATGGATAAGTGCGCTATAGCAGCAGTGACCCAGACCTGCTCAAATACTGGTGAGTTGGTGCCCCTTTGGCATTATAAGTCATGGTCAGTAGAGGATGCTGTTGCATCTTTTATAGAGTACTCTTCCCCAGAAAGTTTTCAAGGTCTGTGACCTTCACTAAGGGCAAGAAAGGAAAATGAAAGTGAGTGGCAGGAAAAGGGACTTCCTGCTGGGCAAAACAACAAACTCTGAAAAAGCCCCTTATGTGCAAGGGAGATTATAAGCAGATGGAGACTTTGGTGCCAAAGCTATCTCCTGCAAGCAACACAGGAAGGTGATTTTTAAAGACAAGAAAATCATATAATTGAGGTACTTGTATACTGCTATCTCCTCTGATATGTGATTTAGTCCTCATAACGGTCAACTGTGTAAGCTCCAGGTTCATTTCACAAAGTTGCTCTAACATAGAATATGAATTAGGAAAATTTTGAATTTACTGTGTTGCTTTTGGACTTTCTGGCAAGGTCACATATATGTGTTAAGATTTGGAGCATTCTCCTTACTGACCCGGATTGCAGATTTCTTTTGCAAGGCATGAATATGTGTCTTGGAATATGTTCATGAAAAAGTAACAAATCATTGGCACAGACATTCAAATAGTGCTGGGAGGGACTGAAGGGAACGCTTATATGGTCACAGAGTGCAAGAGCTGGCAGCCACTGGCTGAAGCTGACCAAATCTGTATTTCTGCAGCTAACTCTGTGAAGTCAAACAAGCTGTGTTCCCACTCTGAACCTCAAGACCTTTGTAAATTATTCACAACTGTGTCTTACATATAGCGAACCCTTGATCCTTACAGTTTTGCTCCAGTGTTGTGTTAATTTTTTGCCTATTACTCAAAAAAGGTTTCCATCATCTAGTTCAATTTTCACAACAGGGTTCTTATGTGAGTGAACTAAGAATTTTTGTCCCCATTTTAGAGATGCAGACCATGAGGTCTGGAGACTTTTGAGAACCTACTGCATTCTTATACCTGCCTAATGTATGAGAATGGGATTTCAATCCCACTTTGCCTGAAGTCAAAAGCCATGCTCTTTGTGTAGTTTACACCAATGTTTCTGGTTTCATTATTAATGGGCATGAGAATACTTGTGGATTCTGGTGCCATGTAGCCTCAAAATCAATGAGATGGCCCTGTGGCCTGAGATTCTGCATTTCAAACCCATGCTCAGGTTGCTGATGGGCCAGTACCATCTAAATTGCTAATTAGAAATAAGAATTTTAGCATCAGGTCCACAGGGTCAGAATGTATGTCTTAGCAAGATCCCTGGAAGGCTGATTTCTTTGTCACATTCAAAAAATCATACATCTAGAATAGGGGGCTGAGAATTTTTCTATAAATAGCCAGATAGTAAATATTTTAGGCTCGGCAGTCTCCCATGACTCTTCTGCACTTTACAAACCTCAGAAGTATGGGTTTCACTCATGCTGACCTCCATCATGAGGGTAGAGTGGTATCTCTGATGAATTAAGGTCTCACTGGTAACTGACTCATGAGTATTTCTTTTTCCTTGAACAAGCTCCATCAACTTCAAGATTCTTAATTTCTGCCTTGATGAGTGTTGAAAGGCATGCAGTCTAGGGGAACTGAAGTTAAGCTGAGTAAAAATGTCTGACTCCACAGGAGTCCAGACCACCATTTTATGATGACTCTTCGTAAGGTCCCAAGGACACCGCAAATATACCAGAACAAGAAAATGAATCTCAGTATTCATAAGAACAACGTGGGGCTCTTGATGAACTGCAGATGAGCTCCTTCATAGAGGTTCTGATTGGAAACTCTAAGAAAGACCGGGGCATCTTCCTTGGAAACCTGCTTCACAAGAGATTCTGAAGCAAGTGGCCCAGGGACACCAGGGAAAAACCTAGTCCTAACCCATGTAGCAGAAACTAGATTTGGCACCTATAATAGAAGAGCTTGAATGAAGTCTCAAGAAGAAATAACAATGAAGTTTCAAATGATGTCTTTTAGTTTGGATAACTGATTTCTAGAAGTATACAAAAATGGCTGGATGCATCCACTAGAGGTCATGCTTGAGTGTCTATCAAGACCAAATTGCTATTTAAGCAGTGGCTGGCCAACATTTCGGTCTTAGGATCTCTTTAAACTTCGAAAAATTTGTGAAGACCACTGGGCATGGTGGTGCACACCTGTAATCCCACTGACTAGGTAGACGGAGGTAGGAGGATCCAAAGTTTCAAGGCTAGCCTCAGCAACTTAGTGAGACCCTGTCTCAAAATAAAAAAATAATAAGGGTAGAGGATGTAGCTCAGCGGTAGAGGCCCCTTGGGTTGAATAGGGGGAAGAAAAGGAAAAAATTGTGAAGATCTCGAAGAGTTCTTTTTTTTTTTTTAAATTTGGGAGGGGTTATCTACTGATATGTAGTGTTTTTGAAATAAAAACTAAGGGGATTGGGAATGTAGCTCAGTGGTAGACATTTGCCTCACAAACACAAGGACCTAGGTTTGATCCCCAGCACACAGAGAGAAAAAAGAAAAATAACTTCAAAAATATTTATTGGTTTATTTTTAAATACCCATAATACATCATTATTTTTATGAAAATTACTGTATATTACAAAAGGATGGCTACTGAGAAGAATGGCATGTGTTTGTGTATTTCACAAATCTTCATAGTGTCTGGCAGAAGAGAGGACACCAGGATTCTTACATCTGCTCTGCATTCTATGTGCCTTAATGGTACACATTATGGAAAACTACATTGCAAACCTGTGTCACAATGAAGGTGACAATGGCTATTATTGTCTTGGTGTTATTATGAAAATGGTGTTGACCTCATGGACTCCTTAAAAAATCTCAGGGAGGACCCCAGTGTTTCTTAGACCACCTACTAGGATAAAGATAAAACCAGGATTTCAGAGTCTGAGGAATAAAAATCAAAACTACCCTGGCATCTTTACACCTCTGTCATCTGTTTCCAAGCATCCTCTCTGACATTCATCTCACATCTTTCTACTACCTGAATTATGCAGTTGTGTTAGTAGGCTTTCTGTTGCTGTAACACACAACTGAAGTAATTCACTTATAAAGAAGAAAGGTTTATTTTGGCTCATAGTTTTAGAAGTTTCAATCCAGGGATAGTTTGGCCCCATTGCTTTTGGGGCCTGTGTTGAGGGAATGAAAGTGGAAATGATCCAGATGTGAAATAAAAGAGGACAAGGAAGAGGAAGAGACCAAGGTCCCACAATCCCCTTAAAGGATGCCCCCAATCACCTAAGACCTGCCACCAGACTCCACCTGTTAAAGTTCTCACCCTCTTCCAATAGTGCCAGGCTGGGGACCAAGTCTTTAACACACAGGCCTTTGGGGGACATTTAAGATCCAAATTATAGTAGTAGTTATGCCACTTGCTACTGAGCTCCTTTTTATTTTCCTACTCTTGGGTTTTTGATTTGCGTTTTTATGTCTCTTCTCATTTTAGTTCTTCTCACTAAAATACCCTGTTAAATCTTCTCTGTCCTTACTCTATCAAACATAAGATTTTCAATTAGAACCTTTCAATTGAACTTTCTATTATGAGAATAATATGTCTTCTCTGAAATATCTTTTTTACTTTTCTCCTTCTACTCTTGGATTAATTGACATCCTTAGTACAGATTTCGTATGTGGTTCTTTCAGTATAATTCCATTTCCCTTTGAAAATTCCCTTTGAAATTGAAAGTTCTTTGAGGTTGCCTATGTATAACAATTTACGCAATGCAGGTTTTTTTTTTCGTGAGTGCAATCACCCATACTATTTTAATGAGTAAATAAAAGTTGTATTTTTAGATATGAAGATGTTGTTAATTTATTTTCAATAAAGTTTACAAAATGATGGTAAAATCTTTTACATAATTTCTTTAAAATGTCAGAATTTCCAAAATCAGAGAGAATGAGTCTTAGGATATAAATGAATTTACAATACTGATATAAAATCAAGCTGATGATTTATGTCTTAGAATGATTTTTATTTCTCAGGATCACTTTCTTTAATGGCAAAAGGTAATGAGCCTAAAGTAGAACTAAATTCAACTGTGGTGAAGCAGAAATTTGGCAATGTTTTAATATAAACAGTCTATGTGGGAATGATAGTTTTTAGAGAATAATTCATAATGTACGAAATGTCATCTGGAAATATGTTCATATAGATTTGCCATATAGTTCAGAGTGAGTTTGTTCTTATTCAAATCACATAAGCAATATGTTTGCAGTCAATTCCATGTTTATGTATATTTCCCACATGCCCAAAGAAGATATACACAAAGTGTTTTTATCTGCTTTGTAATATCATCCATTAGGCTGTCAGTGTGAAAAGTACCAGTTCTAAACTGATTGAAAACAAAAAAAAATATTCCCTTAGCAATTAAAGACAGCAGGAATGAATTTCCCATCTTCCACAATGTATCCTTCCTTTGCTGTATCAAATTACGAAATTCTCAATGGTAAAATCACAAATTTGATTTTTTAAAAAATATTTAAATCATTTCAGCTTTTTTCCCATGGTTACACTCCAAGAAAGGAACAAGATCTGTACCAAACTGCTCATTCCATTCCAACTTCCTAAAGGGCCCACACTGTAATTTTCTATTAGAGTGCAAAAAACTTAAATCATTCAACAGACCAGTATTTAAAGCTCAGCTTCAGATCTTTAGCTAGGTAGTATAAATTTTTGAAACTCTGCTTTATCCCTATTTTGAAACAAACAAACAAAAAAAGATAATAACATTTACCTTGCAATGTTTTGGTCATTTGTTCAGATAATAGTGCCTATGATTTGTGAGGTATTTTATATGCATTATCTTATTTAATCTATCCAACATATACATATAATAACTACTGTGATTTTCCCCTTCCAACAGGAATGCTGATTTTTAAACAATTTTGCCTTCTTGTTGAGATATAATTTATATAGAATAAAATGTATAATGTATAAAATTGACAAATGTATATATATATATATATATCACTGAACAATACCCTAAAGTAAAAAATATACAGAAACCTTGATTTTAATTTATAGATTACTTAAGTTCATTTTTTTCACTGACCAAAAGACCTGACAAGAGCAATTTTAGAGGAGAAAAAGTTTATTGGGGGCCCATGGTTTCAGAGGTCTCAGTCCATAGAAGGCCAGCTCCATTCCTTGGGGCTCAAGGTGAGGCAGAACATCATTAGAGTATGCTGGAGGAGAACATCTGGGGACATAGAACCGGGAAACAGAGACAGCGGGACACTCTACCTGCCAGGTACAAAATATATGCCCCAAAGTCAACTTCCAGTGACCTATCTCCTCCAGCCACACCTTACAT